TACCTTGGTTGATTGTAGTGCCACTACTAACTTCATGTCGTCACACAGGGTTCATAAAGTGGGCTTGGGAATGAAGCAAGTGGAGTTGCAGAACCCTTGCCGGACCCAAATAGGCAACAAAGAAGTTGTCAGTTTCATGCATGCAGTCGAAGGTGTGTGCACCACAATTGACAAGGACAAAACCGTCACACACGCATTAAGCTTCTATGTCCTAGGCAAGCGCCTCTTCAATGCAATTCTTGGATTGGGGTGGTTACCGTCCAAATGCAAGAGAGCTAAGTGGAAGGAATCACTATCCGTAGTCTAGATGCTAAGGGGCACGAACGTCCTGTCCTTTTGGATGAGAAACATGAATCCCTAGTGACTTTTCTTAATGCACGAATCCCTAGTGACTTTTCTTAATGCAATGAAATTCTGCAAGGAAAATGAACACTTGTACATATCTTTTGTGTGACCTGTCCATGTGCCTTCTACTTTTGTGGCTAGTACTAGTTCTACGTTGGATGATGTGACTACTTTTGTTCCCTCTACCTATACTTCTACTTCTACATTTACTAATCTAAATGATACTACTTCAAAACCTGTTATCTTGGCTTCTAATCTGCAACATAATTCACTTGCACCGTATTCTGATTCTTCACTCTCGGATATCCCAACGAATATTCAAAGCATCCTCAATGGATTCCCTGAAGTTTTGGTCGAACCACGTGGAGTTCCCGTGCATTCGGTCCAACACAAAATCGAATTGATAGAAGGTATCATTCCTCCAAAAGGTGCGTGTACCGTATAGGACCCGATGAGTTCGAGGAGCTCTGGAAACAGATCAGCGAAATGATTGACAAGGGTGGATCAAACTCAGTAAGTCTGAATTTGTTGCACTAGTCTTGTTTATCCTTAAAAAACAAGGGTGGATCAAACTCAGTAAGTTTGAATTTGTTGCACTAGTCTTGTTTATCCTTAAAAAAGGAGAAACTCTGAATGTGTATTGATTACTGCGGTCTAAACCAAATTACATCTTACCTCAACTTCGCTTACCACCGGATTGAAGTCGATCCTTCGGACCAGCACAAGACTGCATTCAAAACTCGAAATGGGTTGTACAACCGTTATTCCCTTCGGTCTCACGAATGCTCCGACTACCTTTCAAAGTCTCCTGGACAAGGTATTCTGCGATCAGATCAATCAGTTTGTTGTTGTCTACCTAGACGACATTCTGATTTTCAGTAGATCAATGGATGAACACACAAGACACCATTAGGAAGCGTTGAGCGTCTTCAACACAGCTCCATCTCAACTCAAAGAAGTCTGAGTTTGGGAGGAACAACGTCATCTACCTTGGACACCGGTTGTCTGATGCACGCCTTGAGCCCGAGGCAACCAAAGTTGAGGTCATTCGCAACTGGCCCAACCGGCAAATGTCTACGAACTGCGTTCCTTTCTTCGTCTCGCATTATACTATCGGAAGTTTGTTTCCAGATTTTCTATCATTGCTCGCCAATTGTCTAGACTAACAAGTAATAATGTATCCTATGCATGGGACAAAGCATGTGGGGCGGCCTTTCTAGCCTTAAAAGAGGCTTTGGTGAGTCATCATGTGCTCCGCATTGTAGATCCCAAACTCACATTCATAGTTACTACGAATGCGAGCCAATATGGGATTGCCACAGTGCTGCAACAAGATGATAGTGATGGCTTGGGTCTCGAGTACTACAGCAAACACATGCCCAGTGAAAAGGTAGTCACTTCCACTTTTATGCGCGAGCTCTATGCTTTGTGTGAGGCACTAGGTCATTGGAAGCACTATCTTTTGGAACGCCACTTCAAAGTCTTCTCAAATCATGAGACTTTGAAGTGGATTAAGATGCAAACTAACCTATCCTCTACATTGACCCGTTGGTTGCATAAGATTGATATTTTCGATTTTAAATTGACACACAAAAAGGGTTCTTACAATCGAGTTGCTGATGCATTGTCTCGCCACTCGGGGTATATTGCCTTGTTAGCTCCTACGACCTCCAAAGGAAACCGAAGCATTAATTGCTCGAGCCAAGTGTCAAGGATCCTAATCTCAGTCCAATCCTTGAGCAGCCTAAGGCCGACCCCAATAGTCAACTTGATTTTCATGAGTGTGAGGGTCTGATTTTCCGATGCTATGGAAAGAATGACTGTCTGTGTGTACCTAACCATGAGCCTCTCCGCACTCACTTCTTGGACTTGGCTCATGGCCCCAGTGGACACTTCGGTTTGAAAAGACATATGGAAGTCTATTACAACAGTTTGATTGGCCTGGTATGAAAAGATATGCCCGCAAGTTTGTGGTTGAGTATCAAGTCTGTCAATGAATAAAGCCATCGAGGCAAGAGCCCATAGGGCTGCTAAAACCTCTTCCCATTCTCGGTGGTCCCAGAGAGTCCGTTTGTATTGATTTCATGGACATGGGTAAGTTGAGTAAGAATGGATATTTGCAAGTGATGGCGATTGTTGACCGTTTTTCCAAGTTCTTGACTCTGATTCCATTGCCACATCATGCCCCAACTGACCTTGTGATCCCTGAATTCCACCAAAAGTACAATATGTACTACGGGACTCCGAAAACCCTTGTGAGTGATCGGGACACCCGCTTCATAAGTACCGATTGGAAGGACTGACTCCATGGTATCAAACTGAAAATTACATCTGGTCGACACCCCCCCGGAGCCAATGGTTTGGGTGAGGATATCAACCAGACCTGTGAGGGGGTGTCACACAAACTTCCTCTCTACTGCGGTACATGGGAGGTTCTGAAGGTGGTGGGTGATGATCAGTTCGGTCCTTCGTATGTCATTGATGTCCCTTCTCATCTCCACATGTAACCGGTCTTTCACGCGTTCAAACTGTTTTCGTATTTTGATTCTACTTCCTTTGAATATCGTGAGCCTATGATCCCTCCTGCAATCATGGGCGGTCACGAGATAGACAGAATTACAAGTCATACTGGTAACAGTGGTAAGGGATGTAACATATGTCACCAAGTTCATTTCATGTGTCACCCATTCGATGATCTCTACTGAATGTCAAAGAAAGAACTGCTGCGAAGCACACCTCGTGTTGTCAAAGCATATGAGCGACAACTAGTTTCCGATGCTGTTTGTTATATGCTATGTGCCTGATTGAAACGAGATGAGCATGGCATTCACACGTTCCCATACACATGCACAATGACAAGTCTTAGAGATCATATAGAGAGCAATTCACACCACTCCGGATGAGAGAATCACAATACTGATTCAATAGTAATTAATATCCCTCTCCCTCCAGCCAATCAACGAACTGTTTTTCCAAGAATCCCAACCACGTTATTAACACCCAGACCCCAATTATTTACAAAGTGTCATTGTAAGTGGTGAGTCTTCTTCCTCCCCCCTCGCCACCAAGCTCAAGCTATGGCACATACAGCACCCCGCCTGTCTAGCCAGCCGACACTACACCACCCTCCTGTGTCCGTCAAAGCAATCTGCAGTGACCTCAAATCCCAGCTGCAGATGAAGAGTTCACTCAGCAGGGGAGCGCAGCTCCCAGAATGAAGAACATCGACACGATGAAGATGGAGCCTGCCACTCTCGAAGAAGATCTCATGGAAGAGCTGTTTCGAAGGCAGCTGAAGTAACCCTAACAAGACACAGCGGAGGAGGCGCCCTATAGCGCTCCTGGTCTGTAGCCAAGCGCTACTCTGGAAAGTAGAGCTGCCCGGCCCCAGCTATGGCCGGCAACACCATCACCAGGAGGAAGCCCTGCGCAGATGCTCATAGCGCAGCAGTATAACGGCCGCAACCTCCAGCAGCACTTCGTGGAAAAGAACCCGTCCAAATTTTGCCTACAGACCTTTCGTACAGACCGTTGTACAACCCGATACTACAGCCTACTGGACAGCTACAGCAGAGGACACAGAAGCAGACCTACGGACTCACTGTCCCTAGACCAAAAACAGCAAAAGGGGAAAAGGAAAGCAACCCCTTGTACGGGATAGGTCCAGGGATCTAGCCCTAGAGGGATCAAAGTTTCATGCAAAGTGAGCAGGCATGGGTCACAGGATCGAACCCTGAAGGCCGCAAATCTAACAAAAAGTTAGGAAAAGCCTAACAACTTAGTGTTACATCCAATGGAAACTGCAATTCATTGCACATCTCTGCTAAACTCACTGCTACTGAATATACACCGAATCTCTTTGCTATGTTTGCTTATGATGTGTTTGTCAGGGACTCAGATTGAGTTACTCGCTTGAAGGGGCCGCGCTCTTGAGGGGGGGGTAGTGTAAGGACCTGCCAAAACAAGGACTGAGAACACAGCTGACCTCTGTGTTTTGCCGCTGGAATGAATGCCTTGCTGGAATCCCCGCTTTTTGCTGAGTTTTCTAAGTCTGTGTGTGTGCGTGCTTGCTGGTCTGCGTGCCTGTCTGAGTGCTGTTGTTTGTTTGGGAGGCCCCGCAGGGCCAGTACTTACCTGTGCCGTGACTTTGGGGTTGCAGCGGGGAAAAACACTCGAGTGGCTGAAGGGATAAGCTTAGGGCACACTCGAGTAGCGGTAGTGTAGGCCCGTAGGCACTCACATAGTAGGTAGGCCGGTACCACTCAAAGTAGCGGTAGATTTGTCGGGAACCAGAGGCAGAGCAGAAAGAAGACAAAAAGTTGGTCCAAGCAATGAGTCTAGGGCCTGTGCGGATGATATCAGAGCCTGCAACGATGTTTCCCTCAGAAAGGGAGGAAGTACCAGTTGCTTGAAGGCCGTGCGGCCTGAAAATCACCGCCCAAGAGGCAAGTTGGCCGCTATATCTCCAGGAGGAGCAAAGGGCTCCTACTCATTTTGCTGCGTGCAAGTTTGGCGTCACGCTGCTGTAGCGCTGGTTGGAAGCAGCGCTGTGGAGAAGAGGAGCACCCAGCTCTCCACCTTGGCTATGGTGGAGGAGCTCGGGTAGGAGGAGGAGGCAGAAGGAACTATGAGAGGGGAGCACCAGGGGTACTTACCTGACTACGGTGGATGCCATCTTCATCAACTTGTTGAGCGCTGCATCTGGAAGGCCCCCATTGGGGTAGAGCTGCATTGAGAAGCTTCGAGGCAGAGTCAGGCATGGTGGCCTGAAGAACAGGCCATAGCTGCTTTGCGTTGTCTTTTGCACGTGAGGGCAAGGCCCTTAGTAGTCCGCCATAGCCTCGGCCTAGATGAAGAAGAGAGAGGAAGGTGGCCATGGCGATGGTGGACCTCTTTTTTTTTTTAAAAGCTATGTTCTTCTCTCAATTTCACCTCACACTACCTACCTACCACAACTCCTAATTGTAGGCATACGGGGAACCTCATAGCAGCGAGAACCGTGTTCACGAGAGAACATGCAGGGGCTGCTCCCGACCTGCAGTTGGGCGATACCGGCTAGGGGACAGCTGGTTGTGCTCGCAATAGAAGAGGGATTCAGATATTGATTCTGGTTCAGCCATTCGTCATTATTATTAGGGATAATTCATTGTTGCACCCCCCGACGGTCGGCGGCCCTTGACTGGTCGGCTGCCGACCCGCCGACCGATCGGCTGGTCAGCACCTACCGGTCGGGGGTCGTCGGGACCCTGCAAAAAAAATAAAAATAAAATAAGATTGGGGAGGTCCAGAACCCCCAATAACACATCCAACACCCCCATAGCGTTCCCCAATACCCCCATACACCCCCCAAAACCGCCCCCAAATCGTCCCCAACACCCTCATTACCCCCCGGGCACCCCCAATACCCCCTATACCACCCCTATACCACCCCTACACCACCCCTATACCTCCCTTTACTCCAACCCCAACCCTTTCATATCCCCCCCCATCCCCAAGAGTTTCTCAGCGGATTTGGGCTGTACTCAGCAAGCGTTGTACAGCCCCCACCTCTGATTTGTGAAAAAAATCAGTGGACCTTTTTTTTTTTTTTTTTTTTTTTTTTTTTTTTTTTTTTTTCTTTTTTTTTTTACTGGTCGGCAGACCGCCGACCGGTCGGCCCAACTGGTCGGCTGCAATACGGTCGGCGGTCAGCAGGGATGCATGCAACCCTGGGATAATTTGCAAAATATCCTGTAAGTTGAGATATATGCCAAAATGTCCCTGAAAGATGTGGGTAGAGCGGAATGTTCTTCTGACAAAAAGAATACTTTGTGAAATACCCCTCGCGTCGGTTGGACCCCCATCTTTGCAATACACCCCTGCCGGGTACCGTCCAACCTTGCAAAATGCCCCGGTACTTGCCAACTTATCCTAGGTGAGATTTCAAATGGCCAAGGCCCAAACGGGGAGGTCCAGATTGCAAATATGCACACCCACCTGACAGGGGCATAACACAAGGATTTCGGCCCAAAAGGGCATTCCGCTCTACCCACATCTTTCAGGGGCATTTTTGCATATATCTCATCTTATGGGGGTATCTTGCAAATTATTTCTTATTATTATTATTATTTATTGTCTGAATAAGGGAGGAGGAGACAAGGAGGGGTTGGTTGGCGAGAAGGGGGAATTGTCATTGGTCTTTTCCACTCTTTTGCTGGTGTACATTTTCGCCGTCTTCTTTCTTTCTTTTTCTTCTTCTTTTTCTTCTCTCTCCTCTCAAGTTCATTCATTTCTTTTGCAATTGGATGACATTGTACTTTCTCGTGAATTTGGACTTCGAAATTGGCCAGCGTCGTAACAACTTGCTCAAACAAACTTTTGAGAGCTCTCCTTACCGTGAACGAGATTTCTCCTTTCACTCTATGATATGCGAGCTCGAATTGGAAGTCCTGAGCATGAGATCACTCAAAAGTTCCAAACCCCTTGCAAAGCGCTACATTTAACAGCCTTTTAGTTAAAATTGACATTTTTTTGAATTCTTACAACATTGGGCATTCGGAAAAAAACAGTCAGACCATTGATGGTAGTCTCCAGGGGACGCCCGATTATCTGATGTACCTGGATTTAAAAAAAATAAAATTTATGGACCCTCTGATGTTTGCTGACGGTACTGTATGTCGAGGTACGTCAGATGGTATGGCGTTCCCAGGTACTGTATGTCGAGGTACATCAGATGGTATGGCGTTCCCAGGATGCTTTACCGTCAATGATCCGACATCGTGGGGACCATCTGATGTACCTGGGAATTTATGTTTTTTTTGGGACCTTCGGATGTACTCTGATTGTACTTTATGTCGAAGTATGTCAGATGATATGGCGTCCCCAGGACGCCAATGGTCTGACATCATGGGAACACGAAAATGCTAAAAACTATTGGTTTTCTTTTTTTTCTTTGTTTTCTGTTTGTTTAATCAATCCTTATAAAATCGCTTTGAGGCCGGGGACCTCACAATTCAACCCAGGATACTGACAGCATCAGCCAGCTTAGCTTACAGGCTTGCACCTGCAGAAAGTCCCTGCCGTAGGCTTACCAGGTTCCTAATCAGGGAAATCCTCTGCCTACTGAGCTTCACCCAATGTAAAGATGAACAATAGATTACCAATCTGCTCAGGAAGCTGGGTGAACCTAATACTAGGTGAACTGAAAATAGACTGCCCATCTGAAGAAACAGGACCGACACTGGGCTTACCCCCGGGACCGGGGCCTAGTCAGAAGTAGTCTGGGACTAACTCGGCCCAGAGGACATTGTCCAATTCGTACCAGCAGTCTCCTACCGGCCCAACCGCGGCCCTACTTAACAGAGTGCCCTGGTTAAAACAGAAAACTATCATGCTAGTACCCCCTTCTCATTCTGCCTGCTCACATTCCTCTAACCTCTACTGGGTGCGACATCCAGGACCCACTTTGAGATCACCAGACCTTTGCGAGAGTGCACTGCTGCCAGTGTAGTTGATGGCCACTCCCTGTGCCCGACTTTGCCTTCCTCCTCCAATCAACCCAGATGGCATGTTTCAGACCCTGCTTGATGTGTCGTTTAGTCTCCAAGTCTGGGAAGGGGTGTTTCTGAAACCTTGACCTGTTTCTGTCCAGCCAGATCGTCTTTGTTACATGCCCAGTTGGGCGATGTACATATATAACCAAGGATCCGCAATGTGATGAAAAGGACTGAATGGACAATGCAGTGCTAGTAGAATCTCAACAAACAGTGTACATCCTGATCCATACAAAAATGGTGCTTTATAGCGCAGTGGAAGACTTAGATATAAGTCCTGACCTGACCAGGACTAAGTCCTGACCTGACCAGGACTAACCTCCCTCACGGAGTACAAGACAGCGTAGCAGAATGCTGGGATACCAATGACCAGCCCAATCAATGTCGCAATGCAGATCAAGCATACATCATCCTTATCATAAGGTGTGAAGGGGCCTGGTGCTACACACAGGAAGAAGGCGCCAGGTCCAGATCATGCACAGACGAAGAGGAGGGAATCAGACGAAGAAGAG